GAAGAAATACCAGGGAAAGAAGCTGACAGATTAGGATTTTCTTCCAGTGCTGAGAATATTTTCCCTGTGCTAAGAAACTGCTGTCCCTGAATTCCATCCTCAATCCCATATTATGAACTTCTAGTCCTGGGATGATTAGACATATTGAGAAAATTAGGGAGATAAGCTAATCAGAGGTCTGTTTACACAAGAGATAGAAGAAATTGCTTATAAAGAGTTCACCTTAGAAATATAGGAAGTCAAGGTGCCATCTGACTTAAGGCCGACAAACACAACACAGTAATGGCAAACTACATGAGAAACCACTAGGCATGTACAAGTTAAATTTTTCTCTGGCCTAGATCATAACAACACATGGAGGAGCAGTGTGCCGCCCTCCTCCTGTTTGTGGGTCACACAGGCGCCGGGCTGGGCTCCACACTCTGACCCAGTACGGCAATGTGGGCTGTGGAACAGGCGGAGGAAGGGACTGCACTCACACACAGGGCAGTCCTCACTGGGACGTGTCAGATTGTTGGCACTGGACAGCTATTCTGAAGCTATGGGAAAATATTCTCGGGCTAAGTGTAGCTTATTACAGAGCAAATTCACTAAAATAATTCCTAGGAGTTGTAATCTCATCTCTGTACCAGGTAGTAAGTATAACAGTAAGGAAAAAAAGTACAATAATTCAGGCTTCGGGGGAACAACATATCTAATCTCTCAGGAAACTCTAACCTTTATGTTGGTCCAAGGTTTAAACCAGAATAATTCAGGGTTGGGGTTTTAGCTCAGTGGCACTATGCCCGCCTTGCAAGCACAAGGTCCTGAGTTCTATCCCCGGTACCTGGAATTCTTGATCTTCCCACAGGCCTATGATGCAAGACGTGTACAGGGCCTTCTGCACTTGAGGCCACTCCCGGAGCACACAGCGAAGGCTCCCCTCAGAGGCAGTGTCAGTGCCGTGACAGCGGAGCGCTGACTTTCTTCTCCGGTCCTGGTACACGGGGAAGGAGCCACCTACACAGCCCCTCCCCGCACGTCCTCCTCCAGGTGAAACGCTGCAGCATGCCTGGTAAGCTTTCCACTCCTCATCAGTCCAAGCTGGGATTCTTCCTATGGCACTTAGAAAACTCCCAAATAATGACTAGAACAAGAAAGCGGCGCAGGCCCAACACTGAGCGGTAAATCTGTTTATTCTGGGGCTCAGTTGTATCTGGGCTTGTCTGGAAAAGAGGCTATTACTCATTTACCCGAGGGCTTCATTCAGTAAATGATCGGCAGACATCTGGAAGAATAACAGCAGGCTGGGCTTGTGCAACCAGCCGCCGTCCTGTGACTGCAGCAATGGACAGCGGCAACAGAACTCAGTCCACTGTCTCCAGTCTCCTTCTCCTGTCTTCAGTCTCACAGTCGCCTTCTCACCCATGGGGCACAGTGCATGCCCACAACTTCAGCGAGGGGAGAGGGTAGGGACACAGTATCACAGTCGCCTTCTCACCCATGGGGCACAGTGCATGCCCACAACTTCAGCGAGGGGAGAGGGTTATGTGGGCTCACAGTTCCAGCCCATGGTCGGCTAATCCCGAGTCAGAGAGGCCTGGAGAAAGGCCTGGGAGGAGAGAGGCTGAGAGGCCTGTATCAGTGGGTCAGTGCCATGGACAAGGTCACAGCTGAAGAGGGTGATTGGGAAGGAGGCTCCCATGGGGAGCAGGAGGCCAGTGGGGCATAGCATTGAGGGGTACAGTGTGGCCCCAGCTGTTCCTGGGCCCCTCTTCTGTCGTGAGTTCTTCACCTGCTGTTTCCCAGATGCTATGAGTTCAGCACCTTTCTCCCAGCACTCCAATGAGAGACTGTTGGAGCTCCACGGTGTTTCGTCCTTGGAACCAACCAAATCTTGGCTGAGAGCTCTGGAACCATGAAAGCTTCTCCTTGGAGTTGTGTATATCAGGGATTCTGTCCCAGCAACCGAGAGGTGACTGATACAGTCAGGAAGAGAACAGTGATTCTCACTGTTGCCATTGCTATTCAACATTACGGAAATCCTGTCCCAAGAAACTGGGCAAGAAAAAGAATTAAATAGCATCTAAGGTGAAAATTTAGCAGGAAAATTATTTTCATTTGTGTATAACATGATCTAATATATAAAATACTCTAAAATCTCTACCCAAAACTGTTACAATTATTAAATGAGTTCAGTAAAGTTGCTAAACTTTATATATAAAGATAGATATAAAGATAAATTTTCCATATGAAGATATATAAAAAGATAAACTTTATATACAAAGGTAAAATTTGTATATATAAAGATAGCCCATATCCACTGATTAAAAATTAATATTGTAAAATGTTCTTATATTATAAAATGTAGATTCGGTGACAATTATTTTTTAAATTTCATTACAAAATCATGAATAACAAAAACAGAAATAGACAAACCTGACAGGATAAAAAAAATCTACTGAAGAATAAAGGAAAAAATAAACTATGTAGAAACAACCTATGCCATAGGAAGGAAATATTTGCAAATCATAGGTTTATAAGGGGTTAAAACCCAAAGTATTTAAGAAATTAAAATAACAAAAATAAAACAAAATATGACTAGGGTGCCTTAAAAAACATTTCTCAAAAATAAGACATACAAAAAATGTTCAAAAAATACTTTAAAAAATTCTCCTCACCTCTGATGATCAGAGAATGTCAGTCCTCTCCCATTTGTTAGAAAGGCCATTAGCAAAACAGGGGAAAGGCAACGTGTCCACAGGAAGTGGGCAAAGGAAACCCTCGTTCTCCGTTGGTGAAAATGTTACAACAGTCATCAAAGACAGTGGTGAAGGTCTTCAAAATTCAGAATAGAGCCACCAAAAGAACAAACAGTCATTCTGTCCCCAAGAGTTCACTGATAGATGGAAGGATAGAGTGTCACACATATACGAGTGAATATTATTTCACCTTCAGGAAAGGAAGTGATAACATTCACAGTACTGCGTGCTCTGACTTACAGGACTAATCAGAGTCAAGGTCGTGACATGGATCAAAATGGTGACGGGGGCTGCTGAGGGCAGTGAGGGACCTGGTCATTGCACAGTTTTCCTTACACATTGTGGACAAGTGTGGGGCCACAGCGAGCAGCACGGTGACCACAGCTCCTATACTGTATAGGGCACTATATCCAATACATAAAATTTGCTGATAGTAAATAACAAGTATTCTGACCAAAAGCAGAAAGCAACATTATAAGTGACACACATCAGAACGATATGATTGTGGTAATTATATCATAACACAGCCTGAGATATCATGTTCCCTGCAAATTTATATAATTTTATCTGTCATTTATACTTCAATAAAGCTGGAAGAGTTGAAAGAAGCTAATAGCAGATCTCAGAATAGACACAAGTTCCTGAAATAAATGTGAAATGCTCACTAGCAATAGTAGTAAAAGTTCTAACAAGAATGAATGAGGAAGAAAGGAATTTCCAAAGCTTATTAGGTTCAGAGTCAAATACTTCCTGACTCGCAATTTATTATGTAGCTTGGAAACACAATTCACATATATCAGACCGGCTGATGTAGAAAATTGTCTGATGTGACAATATTGCTTAGGCTATGAGCAGATACACATGAAAGTCTGTGTCTCTCGCAGAGACACAATGCACAGTGGAAGAGGTGAATGTGCAGGAGGAGATGGGGCTGGCCTGGAAGAGGGCGAACTCGGATTTCAGCTGCAGGCAGAGATGGAGGTCACCTGGTGCACACCCTGGGCCCCAGCAGAGCCACACGCAGACTCACGGAGGAGGAGGAGCTGTGGTGACTACTGGGCGACAGTGCTGGGTGGACAGGGCGGCACTGTGGAAGGCCTGGGTGGGAGCACTATTCCCATGTTCTCGGGGGCAACAGCTTGAGGAGGAAGCCAAGCCACCCTTCCTTTCTTAAAATCTTTAATGAGAAGAAGCAAAAAGAATGGTAGAAGAAAGATTGAAAATGTTTCAGGGAGATTTATTATGAGGACAATGTGAAAAAAAACGGAAAAACTACTGACATGTTAAATAAGAAACGGATGCCGACATCAGATAACTTGAATGTGGGTGGGAACCCAGGGACTTTTCCTGCCTCTTCCCAAACAGCAGCGGATGAGGACGTCTCTGGGGAGGGGCAGCCACAGGGCCCAGTTGTCTCCCGTGGTCCTCGGCCCTTTCTGCCTCGTGACTTCAGCTTTCCCAGGGACAGCAGACAGCCCCTCTCAGCCTCACCTGGGGCCCATGCTCCCGGGATGTGGGAGCCTGACACAGCCAACCAGAGCGCTTCAGAGGCGTCTCCACCCACCCGGCACCTGCGACCTAGGACTCCCAGAAGGAAGGGCGCAAAGTCCCGGGATGGACCCCTGAGGGACGGGCCCGGGGCCAGCGCGGGGTGCCGCCCACGCCCAGGCCTCAGCCCTCAGCCCCTGCAGGGCCTGGGTGGAGCGGCCCCCAGACGCCACCTTCACACCTCCAGGACGCCCCCCTGTTCCCGCTGCTCCCCTCCCGGGAGGCTGGGGAGGAGTCCCCCTGAGCACCCGCACAGCAAGGAGGTCGCTGATCG